GACATCAGTCTAAAATTACAACGGCACACAGGCCACAAAACAAAGGTAAAGATACTAGACTACCGGCCACTAAGCAACGCGCTCGTCTAGACATCACCTGAAAGACACAAAGATAAACATTGGGACGACGCCCAGTCAACGATAATGCTGGTAACCCACCAATACCTGTTAAGTATCATACATAGGTAGGATATATACAAAAATCATTTCGAAACAGAATACATATATATATAAGTGTAAAACCAAGAGTAAACACCAACTCAAGACTCATCACTCATCAACAAACAACACGAGAACACATCCCAAGACCACAACGGACAACAACAACTCAAGGATAAAGACACGACAAACGGCAACACATGCCTTTGTGACTACACGTCACAAGTCAAAGCATGAAAAAAAAAACATTTTACAGTACTTACAAATGTTCGAGATTTTTTAAATTTGCATATGATGTTAGAATCTCGCCAGAAAATTTGTTCGAAAGCAACATTCTATAACAAATATAATAGAGACAACTCAACATATGCATATTTATCTTAACTACTCTGTAATACTTATTAAGAATCAAACGTAATAACAACATATATTATTTCATGCATGATACTTACATCAATGTTAAATTTGTAAGGCTTCCGATTATTTCTGGTAATTGACCATCCAAATTCCGATCTGAAAAATCACTACAACAGATTTGCAGGAAAATCAATAATAATCAAAGATTTACACAATTAGCTATTAATTGGATTAAATAGCTAATTGGATCATTAGTTCATAGTTCAATACAAAGTTAGGAAAAACAGTACAATCAAATTGAAGATTATGATAAGAAAAAGAGGTTTTTTTATTTTTTAAAGAAAATATTAACGAGATACAAATAGTAATAATCCTAAACTATATATTCTCTCTTCAAAAAAAAAAGTAATAATTCCTTAGAACTATATATTTTTCAGGCTTATTTAATGTGTCTGGTTCAGTTAACAAGATGTGACTATTTCACTGAAGTTATTTACAGAATAATTTTTTATAATATTTAATACTGCATACAAAATTGTTAAGGAAAATAACCAAAGAAAGAAAATGTGTCATAACTAATGAATAGTAAATACAATATGTAATGTGACAGATGGATTAATTATTTAATAATATTTCTCTAATTATATATATATATATATATATATATATATATATATATATATATATATATTATTTTTAATGAGAAAATGACATTTTTTTCTCCAAAATTATATGCTTATAGCATTTTTTCCATAAATTATTCATGTATTCACAGTAGCCTTTCAATTATTTTAGAAGTGACGATTTTCTTCATTTTTGATAAATGTATATTTGTACCCTTAAAAATAAGGGTAAAATAGGTATTTCATTTATTTTTTTCTTCAACAAATTATTACTTATATGTGTGAATCAAAATAAATGCGTAAGAGAAAATATATCATTTACAAATATTATAATTATAATTCTAAACTAATGTTAGTAACAAGATTAAGACTTAAAATACAAATAATGCATTATTTTAATGCTAATTTTGGGATTTAAGTCCTAATTATATTACTATCATTAGCTTAAAATTATAATTATAATATTTGTAAATGATGTCTGTTATTTTTTTGCATTTATTTTGATTCCCATATATAAGCAATAGTTTGTTGGAAAAAGAAAAGTAACTTGAAATACCTATTTTGTCTTTATTTTTAACGGTCCAAAAACTCATTTAACATATAGGGAAAAATTGGCCACTTTAAAAATAATTGAGGGAACTAATATTGTGAATACATGTATAAATCAAATAAAAGAAACTATAAACATATAATTTAAGAGGAAAACTATCATTTCCCTATATTTATTCACATTTGTCCTTGACTAGCATCACTAAAATCACCTTCTCATCACGAAGAAAATATTTTGCATTGATACCACCCTCAATCTTGCTAGATCTCCCGATGAATAGTTATGGTTCATATTTAAAAAAAATAAATATAATTTATTTTTAATTAAATAATTATAATAACGTTAGAGATTATGATTCTGTTTGGAAAATATAGCTGAATAGCTAGTTGAAATTTAAAAAAATTAGTAGCTGAAGTTAAAAGTTGGAAACTCAAATGTGTATTGGTTATAAAGCAACCTAAAAAGTTAATAAATCACGAACTCTTACTAGGAGTTGAACTTGTAAGTCAATAACCTAACCAATTTAGTTAGGGTTGCTTCTAATTTAAACTATTCCTAATAATAAGGAGAGGGAAAAAAAATATTGTGAAATGCCCTTCAAAGTTGAAGATAATTATGAAAATGTTATTATGTTTTATTCATTTTATATTTTTCATACCCAAGGGTGCGGCCAATAAGTAGTTCTCGTTAGAAGTCAAACTTGTAATCTTATGATAAAATTCGAGGTTGCGGCCAAATGCACGTAAACAAGAAAATCGTAAGAATTATTTGAACTATTAAAATAAAATTAATATACTACATTTGTATCACCCGGCAAACATCGTTATCGAGACTGCAGTCGCAAATAACGCTATCTGATCCACTTTGATCAATTTCACAATTCGTGTTATAAGTCATCGTCTCACATCCAAGCAATTCAAGAATGGCTTTCTCTGGCATATGTGAGAGAGAAACAAAAATAAATAAATACATAAAAAACCAATACATAACATTTTAGTTGATCAATTATAACTGGTATCAAATAATTTCTCAATATAATTAAATCCACTATAACTATAAAGGCATATGTCTCCACTAACTATAATTTCTCAGTAGGCGTTATTGGTTCTTTGTGTTTCAGTAGGTTGAGAAAGTATATGAACAGATACTACAATGTAATAGAGTCAGTAACTTTCAAAAAAAAAAATAAAGGCATATGTCTATGACAAATAAAAATAAAATATTCCAAAAATATATGAATTGTTATATTTGAAAATAAACATTAAAACATGACGTTTGGTTGGAAGGAATGAATTAAGGGGGAAATGAATTGTAATTCGGTGGAAAAAGAATAAGGTGAGAATAAAGTAGGAATTCAAATTACAATGTTTGATATGCATAAATAGGATTATAGGAAATTGAAAAGGAATAAGTGATACAATGACTAAAATGTCCTTATGTAATACTTCATCCGTCCTTAATTGATTGTCTCATTTACTTTTTTGCATGATTTTTAATACAACATAACAAATGTTACTAACTTTCAATATGAAACATAATTAATTTGATAAAATAATTTGAACAAAAAACACATTATAAATTACACATCTCATTATTAATATAAATAAAAGAATGTTATATATATATATATATGTGTGTGTGTGTGTGTGTGTGTTAAATATAAAAAAAGTTATTAAAAACGTGACAGTGTTGAAGTCATAGGGAAAAGAGTAAAAAATATTAGAACTATGTTAATACAATAATTTGAACACTTGACCTTAGACCTTTAACATTACTAAATATGTGCTCTACCAACTAATTAAACTCATTTCTTGTTGACATTTAGTAGTTTTGTTATACTAATACTGAAACTCGTACTATATAACATATATACATACAAAGACTATATATGGGGTGGAGGTGGGGTGAGGCCTTTGGCTCTGTCCCTGATTACAAAAATACAATATTGGTTTATAGGGGCAGAACAAAAAATATTGGTCAGTGGAGGCGAAAAAAAAAAAAAAACTTCAAAACGTGATAAAAGAATATTTATAATAAAATATGAAATCGTTGGAACAAATTGTATATTATCCCTATTAATATTATATTCATAAATACTTTTTAATTTAATTATATCAACTCTAAGTATTTTATATTAATTTAAATACAATAATACACAATTGAAACTTTTAGATTATATTAACTAGATAGTTCATAAAAATGAAGTTTTCTTATAAAATATTAACTAAATAATTCAAATTGGTCATTTCACTTTTAATTGCACCCAAACTAGTCCCCTGACTATAGTAAAACACTGAATTGCCAGTTTTACCCCTCATTTAAACATCCACATAACACCAAAACTAACAAAGAACCATTTTGGCTTAACATTCAATAGTTGGAGGACTACTTTGGGTGCAATTAAAAGTCAAGGAACCAATTTGAGAAAATGTCATAATTGGAGGAACATTTTAAGAATGAGGAAATTTCAATTTTGGTCATATGACTAAAGGGGTCATGTTAATTTCAGTCCTTGACTTTTAAAAGTGTCAATTTAGTACCTTAACTATACATTTTTTGTCAATTTTGGTCACTCCAGCCAAATTGCGTCGGAAAATTTTAATTGTTAAAATAATGAGGATATTTTGATCATTTCACTTCTCTTTTCTTCTTCCTAGGCGAGTCCATCCCTTCCTCTCCCGTTTCCGGTGATTGCAATGAACTAAGATGATGGCGAAAGGAGGCTTGATGATATTAAAGATAGGGTTTAGAGGGAGAAAGAACGCCGGAAACGGGAGAGAAAGAGATGGACTCGCCGGAGAAGAATAAAAGAGGTGTGAAACGACCAAAATACCACCATTATTTTAACTATTAAAATTTTCCGGCGAAATTTGGCCGGAGTGACTAAAATTGACAAAAATTGCATAGTTAAGATACTAAATTGACACTTTTAAAAGTTAGTGACTGAAATTAACAAAGACTCCTATCGTCATATGACCAAAATTGAAATTTCCTCTTTTAGGAATTAACTCTATCCAAAATTAATGAATTATATGTTCAGAATTAATGAACTATATATCTAGGAGACGTAAACGCGAAAATGGTAAAAATCCTGGAGTTTTAATAAATAAAAAAAAATTGATCGATGGAGTTAAACAGTGCCACTAATGATAGCGTTGCTCCATAGTGAAACGACGTCGTTCACAACCGTGTGCATCATGCATGGTGCACACAGTTGCACCAAAATGATTGTTATTAATTTTGAGACTCTTTAATTTATTAAAAACAAAAGTCAACTCCTCGGCTTTAATTTCAACTGCGGGTACCGCTTTCCTAACTGTCTCCTACAGTCCTACTAGTTCACTCGTCACCGGCAGACCATCGTCCATTCGTCCCTGCGTCGAAGCCACAACTCAGATATGTCTTCCATTGACGACGAAAGCTCGAACTTAAGGTTGGATATTTATGCTGTATTTGCTTGTATTTTGTTTTATGTTTTTTTTTTTTGCCGTTTTTTTTGCCTAATTTCTTCCTTTGCCTAACCCTAAATGAAGGGACAAGAACAGCCCAGAAAACACTTCAGGTGGAAGCTCCAAAGATAAAGGTATATCTTCTTATTCATTGTTATGTTATGCTTCTGCAACCTTTTTGAATAAACAAAATGTCACACACTTAGGCTCACAGTAAAGAAAAAACAGAAAGCAGAGGTGAAGAAGAAGAGAAATGGAGTTAGGTTTAAGAGAGAATTTGGGGAAGAAAAGGAATTAGGGTTGATTCTTCAATATCCAAAACATCCAGAATACATAACAAAAAGGAAAAACAATAATTTAAAGCTATCCTAGCTAATACATCCAAAAAAGCCCAACAAACTCCGCATTCTTCGCTTCTGGAAGCTCATTCTGCCCAGCTCATCAACGGCCAACCGTTAGCTTCATAGGACGTCGTTCTCAGCTTCACTCAAACTCCCTCCAACGGCTAGTCTTCCAACGATGTCGTTTGGTTAAGTGGAACAGAATTATTAGAACTAACTCAAACGGCACCGTTTTGGTCCTCCGACTTTCATCACTTAGATTCTGCACCAATCTCTTCTCCCTTCTTGCAATCCAAACCAGTAGTCTAGTCTACCTCTTTAAGGGTCAAGGCTGATAAGAGTAAAGAGACAGGATCAAGAAATCTAGGAGATTATGATATCGAAAGTAAAACCAAAGGAAAGAAAAACAAGGGAATTCAAAGAATATCCCTCCAACAAGAATAAATTCTTGCCCACAGCTACTTAGAGCTAATTGTTCCAATTCTACTTGATGCCCCCTCTTCTAAGAGATGGTCCCTATTTATAATCTATTACCATATGTAAAATAAGGTAGGAGCATCAATTACTGATTACATAATTATTCAATCCCTAATTATACTCTCCATAAAATCAGTCAATCCCTTATTCTGTGCTTCCTTGAATTCTGCCACTAGAATGATTTGATAACTTTCCTTTCTTGCCTGATTTGTATCATTACCGACCGCTAATGAAACAGCCTTGTCCTCAAGGCTGGAGTGCAAAGCATGGTGTTGTTTAACATGCCCGAGTTGTGACCCATGAAAAACATGGTGTGCTCTAAATGTGGGTGGCAGCATACGTTTGTTAGCGAGTGCACTTAATTTTTGCAAAATTCTAAAAGGCCCATAATACCATGGAGCTAGCATTGCGTTAATACGACGTTGGACCGTAGAGTGGCAATGAGGCTGGAGCTTAAGCAGCACATTATTACCCTTAGCAAACACTAAGTCACACCTTTTGGCTTGGGCCATCTTGTCCCTACGATGTTGAGCGTGATCTAGATTGAACAGGTGTTGCTTGGCAAAAAAGATTGGCAAGAACCTTGGTGGTGAATGGTTGACATAGACATGTGCTTGGTATTCATTAGCAAATTCATCCATAGTGCTGACTTGATGAAGAACAATTGGTTGTTCAACGAGAGGGGTGGAGAGATCACTATTGATTTTGTCCATGAGATCCACTTTAAAGTTCAGTGTTGGGGTTTGTTGTTGTGACACATGGAATGTTGATCCTTCCTTACTAACAAAGGCTGTTGTGCCCTTCAATTCTTCACGAATCTGTTGTATAGCAAAGGGATGTTCTTCTTGAGCAAGGTAGTCACTCAGATCAATCCCATAGAAGTTAGGAACTTGAATCCTCATGGTAGTGAGTTGGGGGCCAGTTGTGGTGGCTGGGTAGAGAGATGGTTTGGTGGTGTGGGATTTTTCTATCGGGGATTCAATCTTGGAGCCAGGCTTGGTGACAAGACTGGATAGTGAGTTAGGAACTTGAATCCTCATGGTAGTGAGTTGGGGGCCAGTTGTGGTGGCTGGGTAGAGAGATGGTTTGGTGGTGTGGGATTTTTCTATCGGGGATTCAATCTTGGAGCCAGGCTTGGTGACAAGACTGGATACGTCATGCCCATTACTTTGCAGCCACAAGGTAACCATCTTGGTTAGTTTAGCGACAGATTCCTCCAACTTGGTGAGTCCTTGACACAATTCAGTGTGTCCTGTTCCCTGACTCTTCTCTAATGCGTCAACTCTTGAGTCCAATTGTGTCATGTTGGTTGGCAGGTCGGACCAATTGATAAGAGTAAAGAGACAGGATCAAGAAATCTAGGAGATTATGATATCGAAAGTAAAACCAAAGGAAAGAAAAACAAGGGAATTCAAAGAATATCCCTCCAACAAGAATAAATTCTTGCCCACAGCTACTTAGAGCTAATTGTTCCAATTCTACTTGATGCCCCCTCTTCTAAGAGATGGTCCCTATTTATAATCTATTACCATATGTAAAATAAGGTAGGAGCATCAATTACTGATTACATAATTATTCAATCCCTAATTATACTCTCCATAAAATCAGTCAATCCCTTATTCTATGCTTCCTTGAATTCTGCCACTAGAATGATTTGATAACTTTCCTTTCTTGCCTGATTTGTATCAAAGGCCATGACACAAAACTGCACAAAGCCACGTGTAGTCCTTTCTCAGCCTAATTTTTTTATTTTATAATATCACTGTCCTTAGGGATATAACATGTTATTGGTTTGGCAGTAACTCTTACTAATTGTTGCATTTGATAATTTACAGAGAAGAACATGGAAGACGTAGACTTGCATGATATTCCAGAACTGGAATGGTACCATTTCTTTGCATTCTTTATGGTTTGATAACTTTCCTTTCCTGCCTGATTTGTATCAAATTGCCTAATTTGTTTTTCGCCTAAATGAAGGATCGAAAAGACAGCAGCTGGCTCCAGCAGAGATGGTATGTCTTCGAATGATATTTTGACAGTAATTCATTGCTTTATTTAGAGATGGTATGCCTTCGAATGATATTTTGACAGTAATTCATTGCTTTATTTCTGAATTAATGCTTAATTGCAGTGAAGAAGAAAATTGTACGTCAAGGTGTGGCAGATGGTGTTGCTGTGGGAGTGTTACACGCTGATGATGTTATTCGGGGATTATATTGTGCCGACGTTGATTTGGAGGGGATTACCGGGGATGTCACTGTGACATATTTGTTAGGTAAGGTTTGTGTGATTGCCGTGAAGGGCTCAGTCGATGTGTTCACTGTAAAAGGGGACATATCGATTGAAGCTGTGAAGGGGGATGTCGAAATTGATGGTGTGGTTGGGGATATCACTATCAAATGCGTCAATGGCGATGTTATGATCAGAAATGTCAAGGGTAATATTACACTGGGTTATGTTGCAGGTAGTGTTTTTGTAGATACTGCATTAGGTACTGTTCTTGTTGAAGCTGTGAAGGTTGATGTTGACCTATATAGTGTGTATAAAGATGCCAAGGTGAGGATGGTTAAAGGTGATGCCGGACTCTATGGCGTGGGAGGTGATGGGATTCTAGAAGACATAAAAGCTGAGACCATTATGCGAGATGTGATAGGTGTTATGATGTTGAACAATCGTGTTATAGAGAAAACCATGCCTGTCAATCCATCACTGACAACTAGCATCAAGGAGAAGTTAGAGAGAGTCCTGGCAAGGGTTTTGAATTCGTGATAAGCAGAACCACAAAGTCCAAGAAAATGAAGAAATGAAGTTTGTTTTTCTTCTTTTTGTTTTTCTTTTGGCAGAAACATTGTGTATGACTTTGAAATGAGGTTGAAAAGTAATTGACACTACAGGATTTTTACATCTATTATTTTCCATGGCTCTCTACTGCATGTTCTGTTCAATATGTTAGCTTTTGTTCCATTGGGATCTGAGTTAGAGCGCATTATTGCTTTGTTTAATTCATTTCAATGAAAATTTTGAAGTCTGTCAAAATAATTAGTAGGAAAACCTCAAAAATGGAATGTTTTTAATATGTCATCAATTATTTGCTAGCTATCTTATCACATAAGTTTCTAAGTCAATTTGCTTGCTTCAATTCAAATGCTCACAATTAGAATTCAACCAGATAAAAATCAGCTCACCCCTCTATTGAAGATTAATCTATTTAAGGATTATGTATTTTATTGTTTTCTCTTGACTGACTAGTTTTGACAATTTAGCTTAAAATGTAGCCACTTGTCAATGTTAGTCACTGCTAGCCCCTCTGCTGCTGGCCTTTTTGCAGTTTTGCTTCACAGAGGGATTGGTTGTGCAAGTTGATGTAAGCTTTGAGGATGGACATGCTTTCCCCTTTGAACATTTCTTCCTTAGCAAGTTTTTTTTTTTTTTCACTTCCGATTGTAGATCATTCACAAAAAAACACTACACTGTAAATTCTTCAACCATTTTAAGTTTGGGAATGCTTATCGCTGTTATTTTGTTGGGTGTGAACTTTGAATGAATCATCATGGGTAGTAAATAGTAATGCTGCCAAAGAATTGCATTGTTATCACTGTTATCACTGTTCTGCTTGCTCTAATAGAGTGATTTCATGAATTGCATTCAGAGATAAACCAATAACAATGGGACAGCAAAAGGAATATGCTTTTCAAGCTTTCTTGCTCAAAGAAACAATGCAGGTGGATACTGTGTTACCTGCCAATGAACAGATGATGAAGATGATACCAGAAGTTGAAGAAACAGATGATGATGATATACCAAATTTCAGAAGTCTCTAAGAGTAAGTCTTTTTTTTTTTTTAAAAAAAAAAGAAATTTCTCTGTTTTGTTTCTTGAAACTTGTTTAATTATCTTGATTGCAGGAACTCAGGGATTTGTGCTCTCAACTTCATCATGCTGCAGACTACTGTGAGAACACATTCCAGAATTCTGAACAGAAGAGAAGGCAAGTCTTCCAATTCTTCGGGGCCACTACCTGAGGGTGTGCACCGGATAAACCCCGCCTTGTGACCCTAGCCGGCTAAGGATCACAAGTAGGTAAACCAGCCTCGGTTGCCCATAGCTGAGTGACCGGCTCAAACCAAGAGGGCTGGGATTCAAACTCGTGACCTTGTGGTTACAAGTTTGCAAGTCTTCCTATTTAATAGTATGAAGTTGTGTATATTTATTTATTTATGTGCAGTGTGGTGGAGCACACAAGAGAGTACATATGCAGGGTTGTCGTTACGGTCATTGATCATCTGCGATGTGTCTCTGCTAATCTTGAATGTTGTCTTGCAAAGAGCAACAACATTTTCAGAACTTCGAATTGACTGCCTGAAACAGGTTAGTATGTACTTAGTACAACCAGAATTAGCAGAAAACATGGTTGTTTTATGGCTTGTTACCCCGTTGAGCCAATACTTGTCTGTTCTGTTTTATGTCCTTTTCTTTGGGCACAAGTTTGAAGAGATAGTGTTGCAATTGATATGTTGGACTCTGATAAATTCATCTTGTCAGTGGTGTTTTAATGTTCCAATCTGTTTGCATCCATAATTAGCTTCTAGTGAGGATTTGGATATGATGGCATTCTGTTTAATTTGATAATGAAATAAGAAAGGGAAAGAGACACCTGGAAATGAATACAGACTAATATTTGATTTTTATGGAGTGTGTAGTAATGGTCCTTCTCGCTCTCTCGCTCACACTCACACACACAAACTTTCTTGTGTTATTTTAAAATGAGTCACTACATACCTTCGAAATCACACTCAGACACTCTAATTAGATTTAGTTGTGAATTATATATATGATCATGGCAATGTCTTTCCATTCACTGAATTATCCATCACAAATAGTGGCTTGTAAGAGTCTGAAAGGAGTGAGGTTAGAACAAGGACATCTGATAGAGGTTCACATGATGAGAGTTGGGTAGAAGAACCGAATGAGAGTAGTGTAGTTGTGTCTATTCTACTAAAGTTTCAGTGAAATCAATGTTAGCTATTCAATACTTCTCTATGATTATTGATTACTAAACTGGGGAAAATTGGTGTGAAGCATGACAATAACTTCACTCCTTAAATTGGAATGCTTTTAGGTTTTTGTGATGATTTTAACCAATTATGTTTGTCTTCTAATATGATGCCTGTGTTGTTTCTCCTTGAGCTATTCATTGACATTTTGCTGTTTATTCTGATCCTAGTTCATGTGGCTCTTTAAAGAGCAAAGACTAACAGTTGAAAGACATCATGAAACATGAAACTTTGGTGCAGTGAAGAGGATTATGCAATCGATTGTTCTTAGTGTTTTAATCGTGCGATTATTAAGTTCCGTAGAATTTAGGGCTCTCATTTGTGATCTTTTCTGCTGAAATCTGTGGCTAAAGTGAAGAAACAAAATCTTCATCTATTCCTGTTACTTTTTTATGCAGACCATCATGGAACACCAAAGGTGAACTTCTGGTAGGACCCAATGAGCCCTTCAAAATGGAAAGAATAGCATGTGAGTGTTTCTGACTTCAGATACAATTTGAGCGATAATGCTATTGATGATATCATCTCCCCCCGCCCTGCCCTGGGTGTATATGTATATATGCTTTTATTATATTAATCAATGTTGTAAGTACTTAGTAAACCAACCAACCCAGGCTAGGCTAGGCTAGGCTGAGACACACATTTTTAGGTTGGAATGGAATGTATAACCAAAGCAAAAACGCACTCTGTGAGCAGCTGATTTCACTTCACATCCCAAAATTGAGTCAATTTTCATCAGCACAATCTGAAGAAGTGGTTGAGTTGGCGGATAGATAGGCCTAGTGCGACTACATAAAATAAAAGGAGGATGATATCCCTATGTGCCAGCCTTTATCTTCCTCTTTCATATAGGTCCTTCCTTGCGTACTATACTATCTTTTGCATTTGAAGGGACTTATCCCGTCAACTCGTGATTTAGCAAATAGTCGGGCCGATCGGGTGTCTTCATTCAACCGATGGTCAGACCCACAAATGAATAGGAAGCGAGACGAGGGTCTTTCATTAAAGGGGGTGGGGCTCATAGGCCTTTGGTACCTAGAGACTCTCAATACCAAATTACCCGGGTTGGGTCCCATCGATCACCCTCCCTTGAACCTAAACAGGCCGAGAGAGATTCAACGCCATGAAGAACGTTTTCTATAAACTAAGATGAGAGATAAGTGGGATGTGCTAAGCTAAACGGATGACCAATTGATACAGTACAAGAGTTTCTTTTTTCTATTTCGGTATGCCGCTCTGCGAGCAAGGAGTGCCCGCACGAGCGGAGCAAAAAGTGAATTCTTCTATTGGGGATTCTAATGAATGATTCATGAATGACGAATCAAAAAAATTCTATACAATTCTAAAAGGGGAAATACTTTGATTGTGTATCGAATACTTCACCGTTATTAAAACAAAAGTGCTAACAAGCTAGAATGAACCAAGTTTAGTACTTCAAATTCACTTAGATTGAAATGACCATTCTTCCATAAAATAATAATAACAGTATTAGGATAGTTTTATTTAACAAAAATGCAGTATGGATAATTTTGTCAAATAAAATGTATACATTTATTAGCTCATAAAAAATGGACAAAAATCAAAGACATGACCTAGATTGGCACATCATATTATTTGCCTCCACTAGCTAGGACCAAATTCTCACATAGGTGTTTCAAGGTGAAAAATGCGCAGTAATTTCATTCATCCATCCTACCTATGGTCAAGATCTGGTCTTAGTTGTCAATCTCATCTGCTAGAGGTGGTGACAGAGTTGTAATTAACTCAAAGTGAATTACAAACTTGTGCAGTTGAGGGGTAAAAATGTTTTTTTTTTTTTTTTTTTTAAACCAAAAAAAAAAAAAAAAACGCACTAACTTCTACCTCCCCGATAGTGGCGGACCCAGTGTGGGGGCAGCTGCCCCCACTCCCCCACCCCACCCCACCACACCCCTTTATATATATGTATGTATATGTACACATATATAGCATGAAATATTATATAAAATCAATATTTATGTTGAAAATGTTAATAGTTTGAGTAGCTTAGTTGGTTGAACTCTAAATTTTATGTTATAAAATGCTTATGTCATGTGTTCAAATCTCATTAGCACCACTTTTAATTATCTTCTCTCTTTTATTTCTTCACAAGATAAATTAAATATTTTTAGTCTATTTTTTATGAATCATTTAATTAACAAATTAAATGCTCTTTAGTCTAGTTTTTATAAGTCGATCATTTAATTAATGTAGTATACAAGTTTATAATATACTTTATTGTATTCGCAATCTTTGTCTTCAAAGCTTTCTTCTTCGTTTTTCTTCATTCGTGATTGTCGATTTAGAGGATTAGGAATTTAGGTTTCGTTTGGACTAGCATATGCCTTTTATAATATAACAAGTAATGTCCGCGTCAGATTAATATCAGCACCATGTCATCAAGGAAACGGGGGAACTTGTAAAATTTCTAAGCGGAAAAAAAAAATAGTTTGTGAATCGCAATATACGTTATGAAAGGTCATAGTGCGGCATGAATAATGCGGTATAGTTCATGGTGCGGGATGACACTTTACCCATAGTCTTATTTTTAATATTATATATTCCTATTTCCTAAATAAATAATATAGAACATTTGAATGATTGAAAGAATAACAATGCATCAGGGATGTACTGAAGATGAAGACAATAACAATGATACCCAAAAGAGAATTAGAGAAATTTAAACCAAAATTAGTATTTATTTAGACTATCGTTTTAGACTAAATACTTAGACTAGCGTTATTATAAAGTTTCAAATATTTGTTTTTGTGATAGTTATATATAATCAATATGAGATATATTATCTTGCATGTATATGCTTTAAATTACCGATTTAAATAAACAA